CATCGTCTGTCAGTCTGGGAATCCCAGTGTTGAAAGAACACCAAGACACCAGGGATTCACATGTTTTCCGTATAATAAATTTTGATAAATCTGACCAGACCTGGAGGCCAAAGCTGAGTCTCCAGCGTCGCCCGGTGTGGTCTTTCCCAATATTTTGGAATGTGCAAGCTGTGATGTTGAACAACTCTGTGATTAATTTGTATTTTGACATTGAAATCCTTCTGTGAGTAGGAGGACAACAATCGTCATCAAAGTTTCATGAATCTGCTGGTATAAAAAAACACTTAGCAGAGTCCGATGTTGCCTTGTGGCTAAACCTTTTCTGTGCCGCAATCCTCTCCTACACACTTTCACCGCTCTTGCACTAAGTCTGCATCCCTCCACCCCTCCCTTTCCCCCACTTCGTCCAAAAAACCATGTGCAGCATGTCTTTTCAACTCCCTCCACGCTGAAGAAGGGCCCCGAACGAAACAAAACAATTATCTCTTCCCTCGTTAGGACCTGGCTCGCATCCCTTCTCCCTCTCCAACTCCCCTCTTTCTCCTGCCGGGCCCGGCCTTCACTCTTCTCCTTCCATAGCCGTGTGTGTGACAATAGGTTGGACTGAGGGTCTCTTAAGTGTTTCTGAAGTGGAGCGTTTAGCTGGTTTTAGGCGTCGTCATGTTTCTTTTAAAGGCCTCTGCAGGCACAGAGGCGCAGCATGGCCACTGCGTATAGAAGAGGGTGCGGCGCCCATGAGGGAGGCATGAAGGGAAGACAGGAGAGGAGTGCAACACATGATGGCATGTGGCGGAGAGGGCGACCGCTGGTGTGTGCTACAGTGGAGAGGAAGGGGAATGGATGGGTTGGCAGTGTGAGGGTGAGCAGGGTTTCACCGTGCCAGCTCTTAATTACTTTAATTGGAGTCATTAGCTAAGTGAGCATGAGAGACATCACCTGCATGGCACGCAGGACCGCACCTGCCACAGCCACATTGCTATCATCATCACACTCCAGCCGAGGGTCTTCTGACAGCTCGACACTCAGACGCACTAACGCTGCCACTCTGAGGCTGCAATCAGTGCAAACAAATACTCAGACACACAAACATCATCATACAGTCAATTGTAGACTCGGAGAGATAAGAGATGAAAATACGACAAATGCACATGTCGTTCCTCCGGATGCATCAGGCAGTATGAATATAAAAAGGACTGCGTTCAGTTCAGCTTCAGTGTATTTAGTGAGCATTTATATTTGTATATCATATTAACTCCTGCTGTGCTGAGTGCACTATATGAGCTCATGTCTAATTCTGTCAAAACAACATGCTCAGATGCTCAGGTGTTTTTGAAACAGCACATTCTAACACAAACAGCTGATTGACAGCTGATGTCACCTCTTTACAGGAGTCAAACTTGACAATCAACTTTACTTTTAGTCAAAGTTTTGCTTTGTTAATCGTCATCAAGTCGAGTCTTGTTGAGACAGATTTGTGAGATGAGGCTCAACCTGGATCTGGATCAAGTGTTGGATCCAGGAACTTTTTAAAACATTTTCTTTAACATGATGTAGGGTCTGTCCATCATTTTCACCTTTTTCCAAGGGAATATTTCATGGATCATGAAAATCATTTAGAGAACTGATATCTAAGAGTGTGTGAACTTTGGTGCAGCTTGATTGAATTTGAGGGGACTGTTAGAGGTTATGGTTTCACTGTTTGTTATTCAGCAGGATTGCACAAAAAGTACTAGTTGCTATGGGTCAGGGAGGAACCCAACACCCTCAAAATTTTTGGTGTGGATCCAGGAATTTTTTGAAACTTTCTTTGACATTGCCTGCTATAGGGTCTTGCAACATTTAAGTCAAGTAAAGTCAAGTCTTGTTGAGCCAGATTAGTGAGAGGAGGCTCAACCTCGGCTAATTTATATTAAAGGAACTGATATCTATGACTGTGTGAAATTTGGTGCAGATCCAAATAAAACTTTGGATCCGCTTTTAGCTGCAGCAGAAGAGGCAGCAGTGTAAGATACTAAAACCACAGCCGGATCTTATCCAAAGACAAACTTTGATGTTGTTCAGATCCGCAGGCTACACCTTCCTCTGTCCTTCTCAGCACCCAACAGACAGCCTGGCAGGCGGGCTGGCAGCCGGGCAGGGTGGCAACGGGCTGGCAGGCTTAGCCCGGGGGCATCATCTCCAGCAAAGCCAGCTCTGACCAGCTGGTCTAGACTAACACCACTACAGAGCGGGCATGTATCAGCGGGGAGGTAAATGTTAGCCGTGGTCCAGACACCCTCACACCTAGAGCCTGACACACACTGGTGGGATTAAGGTGAGAGAACTATGTCTGGTCTATGACTTAACAGGTCATCCTGTAGTTTCAGAGTATTCCTCCTGCCACCGTCCCAATTTACTTCCAGGGAGATCGTATGAGGCATCCCAGTTCATTCTCACTCGCTGGTGCCAGATCTTGGAGCCTGATCCGCAGTGTAGTCTGATCAAATCTACCATGATTGCTGCAGAACTCCAAGTGGCTGAAGAAAATCCTCTGGACCTTTCACTTCCAGCAGCGTTCAGCTACTTCACTAGCTTAGCAGTGTGTGGTCTATGAAGCTATAGCAAGAGACTCAGAGCTTCATGGGGGGGATAAGAGGAATCAAACCAGGGAACATTTGTCTTCTTGCCAAGACCCAAGGCCAACGACAATGAGCACCTCATGGGTAATGAACTGTTCTAGTGCAGTGCCCATTCTAAACATGCCTGTTTTTGTAAACAGTCTGCAGAGTGAGGTGAGAAAGTGTTGCGTTTATCCTACCTGGTTTATCTGCAATGCAAGGTTTTATAGTCAATGTTTTTCTTTTGAAAGTTATTTTCTCATACACTGCATGTCGGCTATTTCAGAGGTTTGTTAGAAAAGTGACAAAATCTTCAGACCCATTATCACAATTTGTCAAAATAAAAGCTCTGTGATTTAGCTTACTATAAAGTTTTACATAACCAATGATGTTTTCAATGTTGCTGCCATGACAGACATCAGCACCCGCAACACCCGTGCATGTTTGTGTCAGTCTGATATGGTAAAATCTAAATATTCAATTTATTGAAATTATCTGGTGCTTTTGGACAGTGGACCGCCAGTTGCCGATTGCAGCTGTAGTTTATCCGAGGACGTAGAAGACAACTTGTCCACTGACTGAGACAAACTGCCCCACCCCCACTGACTGCTTTCGAGATCTGGTCACCTGCTTTTTAATAATGAAGGTATTGCATTTCTAAATTGCCCAAAATTTGACACTGCACTTCCCTGGGCCATGAACAACACACATACCATGTGTGAAGCTGAAAAGATGGACATTTCACAAGATACTTGTTCCACAAACAGATATGGAATCAATACTAGATGTGCTAAAATTTAGTGCAAAAAAATAGGCCTCAAATTCTCAGTATCACCTTGATACACCTTGATTAAACCGATAACGTTTGCCCCCCCATCCAACTCACACAACGCCCAAACACTTCCATGTCTGACAGTTAAAAGGCCTACACACACACACACACACACAGAAAGAGAAAGAGCAGGCAGCTCATTGTGCGTTTTAAACCGCTAACTAGGCCACTTAGCACCCCGTGACGCTGATCTGATCCCTGAGGCGCTGAACTTGGCAGCGGGCCCTCCTCCTTTTCGCTCCTTCCTTCCACCCCCCCTCGCCATGGGAACCAGGCCATCCTTAATGACGCAGGAGTGCTCCGCCGGCTCCCACAATGCAAAGGGGGCTGACATCTGTCTTGCTAAGTGGCGCACTCTCTTGTGCACCTTGTTTGTTCAATCAACAACTGCTCCCTCCTTCTCCCCCTCCTCCCACTGTGCCCATTTTCTTTTCTTTTTTTTTTATCTCTTTCGTTCTTTTCTTTTTTCCAGAAGAAAAGGCAAAAAGATGGAAGAAGAAGAAGAAGAGGTGGTGCAGAGTTCAAAAAGAGTAGTGAGACAGTGAGACCATGACTCTCCCCGCTCCACCACCAGCAGGGCAGTGGGTAGATTCATGTGATATCAAACGCACCGATGTATAATGACGGATGTCCAAACAAGATGGTTCGGTTATTAATTGATAGGATTTTGCATTTTATGAGCAACCTTCGTCTCTACTGTGGGAGTTGAATGAGCTAATAAGTGTTAGCACAGCTGTACGAGCCCAAAGCACCCTCTCCACCTTTTGCATTTTTAGAGAAAACAAGTGCCTGATTAAAAGTGGCCCTTAATTCCTCATAGTTAAGACACGAGCAAATATTTGTCCCATCAATCTTGGAAAATATAGCCATCAAACCAAGATGTTAATCACATGCTAATGGAATCCGAGGGACTCAATGCACCCCCGTAGTGCAATGAACGCTTTCACTATTTCCAAAAGCTCGAGTGAATGCAAATGGCCGTCTCAACAGTCATTTTGACAAGATGCCAAGGCAACGTAAAGAGCCCCCTTCTTTATGCTCCTCTGGGAATGTATGTAAGGATGTGTGGGATGAGTTCACTTTACCAGGCCCAGGTGCCAGGATATAAATGAATAATAGGTTTTATGGGCCCTAACTAAAAAAAAGCACATGCACACATAATCACACATGCCCCGCTCCCTCAAGTGCATCTGTAGTGAATGATGTTCAAATTCCCACAACTACTCTGAAAAGAGATTGGGCATGAGAATAGGTGGTTCCTATACATAATTCAGGGGTCCATGCTGAAACAATTATGTTTGCTTACCGCTAAGTACCCGCGCTCAATAGCTCGTTTGCTCTCTAGTTTGGTGCTTTCAGATGTAAGTGGTATGTGCTAAAAGTCGGCGGGAACACAGCTTTTTAATAAAATATAGGAGCTGACACTCGAGCGCCTGAATAGTGAGTGGGTGGAAAAAAAACAACAAATGCTCTTCATGTTTTTACTTGAGCTTTGCATGCAAACTAAATTGCACTTGTAAATCTAACAGTGTTGGCAAGAGACCAACAAGCAGCGCCAGGCACAAAAGGAATTTGAACAAATGGGACATTTTTAATGAAAGTCATCACAATATTTCAGTTTAGATGGATCTAAACACGGTTTTGTACATTTACACACATCCAGTATGGACAGCTTCATTTGTTGCAACAGAAAACTGCATGACCAAGAGGATACTGGTCATTTTGTCAACAATCAAGAGGTGGAATACACCACCAAGTTATTTTACTCTGAAAATCACATTCAGACTCATATATACAAATAAAATTCACACATAGTTACTTATACAAAGGGAACTTAGAGAGAATTAAAGGTGTCAATTAAAATGAAAAGTTCACGTCTCCTCATTCCTCTATTTCAACTGTCAGTGAATAATCACAGCAGTCACGTCATGTGTTTTTGTTACAACAGCTTGTACAGCATGGACGCCGCGGCCTCTGCACTTCTCTCCTCGATGCCCGTCTCACACTTGCACTCCTCCACCACCATCACTAGCTTCTCCCGGACCTCTCCCCGACAGCGCAGGGGCACAGTCACGGTGTGGGCTTTGGATGGAGCGCAGCGTGAGCAGGGGGCCCGGCGGGGAAGGGCCCCTGTCCCGGTGCTCAACCCGGCAAACTCTCCTTCGGACGGCACGAACAGAGAGCTGCACTGACCGAAACACAGCTTGTTGTGCACCGTCACTGTCTCGCATCCGTCTGCGGTCACACGCTGGGAGGAGATGACAGAGGGGGAGAAGGTTAGATGTTGATTTACCTCTTATGTAAAAATCTACATTGTGTTTCTGCAAATCTACTGAACAATCAACATTTCCTCTCTTTTTGTTTTACTGTATAAACAATCAGTCAATTTAATGCATTTGTTAATTGACTTTATTGTGCACAGAAATCTATTTAGTAGAATAAGCTAATTAAAATCTTTGCCTCTTACCTGAGTGAAAGGCACCGCAGTGCATGTCTGTTTCGTGTCCTTCAGGTTGACTGGCAGGGACAACTTGCCTCCTTTATCCATGGCTCTTTGCCACATCTGCAGCCCCTGTCTCTTCTTCAGTTCCATTTCAGTGGGGCCTTTAGTTTGCAGGTGGTGCAGGGGACTCACTGGAGCCTTGGAGGCCGGGGCCGGACCTGGACGCCCCTGAGACAAGAAGGCAGGGAAGGGCAACCTTGAGCTGAGTGAGGGGGCTCTCCTGGCGGTCATTCCCTTTCTGAAGAACCCTGACTGGGCCAGAGCGCGATGGTCCAGCTGAACAACCCGGACTATTCCTTGGATAGGTTCATCTGGTCCGCTGCCAGAGGATTCAACATCGACCCGTGACCTTTTCAAAATGTTCTCAAACGTGTTATGAGGAAAAGTAAAAGCCAGAGTCATCCAGCTTGAAAAAATTACGAGGCTGATGAAGGAAGTCATAGTTTGACACAGAGAGATTCTGCTTGAAGATGAATCGATGACTAGATAAATGAAATCAAATACTGAAAAAACAAGAGAAAAGTTGCACAAGAAGTTGTCTGGTTTTGTGGTTCAAGGTTCCAAATGGTAACCTTGCTGTCAGGACTTTTTCAGTGTGACGGAGGGAGTCTTTTATATAGGCGGCTGCCAGTTCTCGCCTGGGTTTCAACGTAGAGAAGGTGTCACAATTCCCACACCAGACCAGACATCACACCAAGCTTAAAGCTCCAGGTCGTGGATGGTTGCCAGCCGGAGAGATTTCAGTTTCAAGGTGAGTGTTAAAAACATGGTCATAAAAAAAAAACACATCTGAAGGGATCTCTGTGATCTTTGAGTTTCAAATTAATGGAGGTTGAGTCCAGACAAACTTCTACTTTTTAACCATTGAGATTTCATTTAGTGAAACTCTCAATAAAGAAGAGTAATCTACACTTGGTTGAAAGATTCAAATCATCCATGAGCCACCAGAACATTTTACTTTAATCTTTAAGAACTTTAATCTCAGCATAAACAGATAGATGGGAATCTAGGGAGCCATGAAAATATATTAAAAGAGCTGAAATTAAATCTGGAAGATATATTTGACTTTGGCCATTGTTTTGAGGATGAAGTAAATAAGGTTGTGTAATCCTGTTTTTTCCCCAAATCAAGTTTATTTCAAAGATTAGATAGTTCTTAACATTTGAAGATTTTAATTTTTTCCAGCTAGATTTCTGCAACAGCCTCTAAACATGTTTAACTCGCCTTTAATTCGTACAAAAGTCTGCTGCCAGTTTTATTACTGGTTCAAGAAATTATGACAACACAACAGCTTCTTCTTAGTTTTTGCATTGATTTTAAGATTTGATTGATGACTTTTTAAACAACCAAGACCATCGAGGATTTACTGAGTCTGAATGAGCCTGCACATCATCTCAGATCAGCTGAGAGTGGTCTTCTTCATTCTATCGGTGATTTCTCGTGCTTTTGCAGTAAACTCTGGAATAACTCACAAGCTGAGATCAGAAATGTTACATCTGCTTCTACTTTTAAATCCTGTCTCAAAACATTCTTTAAAAAAATCTTTCATCATGAGTGAATGTGAATTTATTTGATTCACTTTTGTTTACATTTTTCAACCTTAATTTTGATTTAATTTCATTTGATTTTTTTCCTCTTGTGAAGCACTTTGTGTGACTTTGTTATGAAATGTGCTATTCAAATAATGATTATTGTTATTATCACAGGATAGAGGCAGGTATGAACTCCATTCTTTCAACTATATATTTGCACATTTTCCTTTGATTTATTCATTGTTATTTTCAGTTATTATGATGACTGTGGTGAAAAGTGCTGCCAAACACATCTTTCCAAAATCTCCAGTAGGTGCTCAGTTGGTTTAGATCTGGTTACAGCCACAGGATTTTTATGTTCATATCATTTTTCAATGGTTCTCAAACAGTTATATTTGTTTAAAACCACAATCAATACAAAATATTATTTCTATTATCAATCATTATTTTTCATTTGCCATTCTAGGAAATAGAGATTATTAGAAACTTGATTTCATCATATATTCACAATTTGCAGTTCAGACCAAACTTCAGCAGAACAAACACATTACAGTTGGGAAACACTCTCCTGGCTCCCTCAGTTGAAGGACGTCTGCTGTGGTTAAAAACACAGCAGTAAACCCTGTCTTTTTAAGTAGGTGTCTCTGTGTAACCTTTGGCTGTAAAGCAATAATGAGTTTATGAAGCAGCTCGTCAGTCTCTCCCTAGACATCCCATCATAACGCCATTAGACTTCACTGCGCTCTGTCACCCGTGACCTGATCAAACACTTGCTGCTGAAGGCCTGGCTGTGTGATTATGTGCTGTTTGACTTCCTCACAGAGACATTGGTACGCAGAGGAACTTTGCTGTATTCACACTTTTATACGTCTTGTTTCCCGTCCACCACTAAACATGGTCCACAGATGTAAGTGTGAGCAGAGTAAATGACCCACTGAGGTTTAATCTGGAGACTTTCTCACCTACACCAATTTGGGACATTCACACAGTAGGCGGGGGTCTGCAGCACCATCCTCAATGAGCTTTTGAAATATTAGTGTGTCATGTTGACTGTGGAATTATGTGTTCAGTATTATGGGAAAATCACATTCTACAGCTGCAGAATAAGCTTTGGCCACCAGGGGGCACAGTTTACAAAGCACTGTGTGCAAACACAACCATTCTCTCATTATTTACAGTAAGGAGCCCTGTTACAATTTAAAATCTGAATTGTTTTTTATTCTATGTATTCTCATACACACAGATGGTACAGGATAGCTCCCCTGTGTTGGAATGATTCTTTACATTTTTAATTTATTGCAAATCCTGATTTGAATTAAACTAATGACACTGCAGCAGCTCCTCAGTGGGGTTGAACAGAGTTTAATGTGGCGGTTGTCGAGGCCTTCACAATTATGATGAATCACATTTGCAGACATGAGAAACTCAATTAAGGAACCGTTTAGTCAGTCATGTCTCCTGCAAAGAACTGAAGAAAACTTTTTTATTGACTTTATTTTTCTTCCTGGTTGTGCTGGTGATGGAGCCAAGAGAGGCAGTGGCAATAAAACCAAATAAAAGGTTTTAATTGGTTATAAGTAACTGGTCAGGGAACAACAGGTGCAGATTCTGAATTGTCTCAGGGAAATGACCCATGAAGGTGGAACTTTGAAAAAGGGACCTGTCTCATCAACTGTGTGCTGCCATAGAAAGCAGGAGAAACAGCACCATGTTGTAAAACACTGAACACATAAACCTCACTGCAAGTTACTGATGAACATATGAATTAATTAATAAATAAACAAACCATGTTGTATAGGTAAGGGTTTTATATTTCTGTGGAGGAAAGAAAGGAGGACTGCACTAGAATAAGTGTCTGTGTTCATTATGGCTCAGGAGATAGACAGGGTTGTCCACTAACTAAGGTCAATGGTTCGATCCCCAGCTCCTTCACTCTGATTTCTGAAGGATCCTTGGGCAAAACACTGAACCTCAAATTCCCCCTGATAGTGTATGAATATTGTGATAGAATCAGTGCTGTACGGTTGTGTGTGTGGGTGGGTGGTCGAGCACACTCGGGTGGTGGTGATGACACGTACACACACACGCACACAGAGTCACATACACCATAATAAACCATGTGTAAAGTACACTGTTCACCTGCTGAATCATAATTTTCTCCCACTAAAGTTAAACATTTATGACCATGAGAATTAACCATTGGTACTTTCTGTTCCCCGCGCAGTAATTAAATAGCTGTTCATTGATAGTATGTATTATTACGCTCCATTATATGCCACACATGCATATACATGCAAATATCTCCAAAACACTCAGGCCCTGAAGGTATTTAAAAGCACAGTTGTGGTTTTGTGTTAAAGGTGTGGCTCTGGCTCAGGGGGTAGAGCGGGTCTTCCTCTAAACAGAGAGTCAGGGTTCGATCTCAGTCTGAAGTACCCCCAAATAGCCCCTGACAGCTGTGCCGCTCTCATAGAAAGCAGTGCTGTCAGAGATGCACTGTACGAATGTGTGTGAATGGCAAAAGAGACTGTGCTGTAAAGTGCTGTGTGGTCATCAAGACTTGAAAAGCTCTGTATCATTACAGATCATTTACCATTTATGAGTGACCCTTCAAACCTGTGTTAAATTAGCTTTCTGACACAAATACGCTGTAACAGTGACATTAAGCCCAGTGTTGTGTGACCCTGAGGAAAGTACATCCTGAAAATTAACTTAACTTTTTCTTATTCACTTAACGCTCAACATAGCTGTAGGTTGTTGAAGGCAGAACTTTGAACGTTCATTTGTGGTTAACATTCAATAAAGTATATGAGTTATGACTGGTGATAGACACGTGGTCACGGCCTTTACTGTTGATGACCTGTACATGTTCCACTGGTGTGATCATATATTATTGTGTTCTTATCTTAATAATATTAACCAATCACCTCTGCTCTGTGTGATCAGAAAAACCCAACAGCGCTGACAAAAAACTTTATATTGAATTCAACAAACTTTTTGTAGAATGATCAGTTTGCCATATATTGCATCAATTTACAGATTGACAGTTTATTTAAATTCTCAAATTCGCTGCTTTAGTGTTTTTTATGTTTTGTTCAGGCTACAATCAATTTTATTTGGATCATAAAACAATAAAGATCAACTTGTTAATAATTGTCAGAGGTCAAGATTGCGATATTTATTATCTATATATGATTAAATGTACAAAAATAAATTCATCGTATCATTGCAATGAATGTGTGGGACAGAAACAACTGACACAGCCGGTGCAGATTATTCTCCGCACTGTGCATCATTACATATCAACCGATGTATGTTTCAGCACATTCAACATCACTTGAACAGCCCTTTCTTTAAATATAAATAAATCACAGTATAAATGAAGAACACAGTAGTTCAACCGACTGCATCTCCAGCTTTGGTTTTAATGCCCTACATGCCAGTAATGCAGGCACGCCTTAGTTTATCTGTCTGGAATGATTCTTAAAAAAAAAGAAGAGGAAAACCTTTATACAAAGAAAACTGCTTACAAGTAAGATTTCTCCAACCAATTAAAACGTTGTCATCTCATCTCAAACAGGAAATCTCACGCCTTGTGGCCGATGTCCTTGTAGAGAACCATGGAAACCAACATCGCAGCGACCTGTAAACACAGCAGCTCTTCAGTGTTTGGCAAAATACAGTGTAAAGCAGCTGAGATACAGATTAAAGACAAGTTGATACAAATCTGTAGAATTATACACAGAAGAGGAGAACTTATAAAAACACAGACACAGGCTCAGATTACAAAATCCATTCAATTAAGTAAAATAAAAACCTCCTTGATCCAATTCTACTGTGCTTTGTGGCAACAGGGTGGATTATGGTTTCAAATGACTTCCCTGACCAGTTTTAGTCCTGTCACATAAAACAATGAATTGAAGGGAGCAGACTAACTCAAGTTTGTTTGGTGAATCATCATCTTCCTCAGCATCGATGATTGAAAAACATTCACATGAATTACTTTTTATATTTTCTGCTCCATATAAAAGGAATGAACGTGTCCACAGATACATATGGTGACACTGGGATGGTAGAAGGGCCTGACAGGAGGACCTGTAGTGGGTGGTGTAATAACTTATGGTGTTTTCTTTACCTCGAGACCGATAATTCCTAGTGCCACAGCTGCGATGACCACAGCGTTGTGTTCTATCAGCTCCAGCAGCTTATTAAAGCAGCCATCCACATCCTGGAAGACAGAGCACAGGTTTTGACAGGGTAGGACTTTTGCACCTCATCACGGTTATTCATGGTGATGTATGAAGTTAAACCAGAAGTAAGCTTGGTCTCGTACCGACATCTCCGCAAGGTTTTCAGTGCATGTCACCATGGTTGAATTACAACATGCGGATGGGAACAAATTTCCATTGTTGTTAAAAGGAGAGCCATCAAAGTCAGTGTAGTTCCTGAATCCGCAGCAAGTGAACTGGAAGGAAACCACAAAGGTTTAACGTCACATCTTGACAAAAACAATTCAGTCGTCTCATCTGTGCAGCCATGATGCTCTTGTGTGTGGGGCGGTGCAGGCTGCTCAGTTATGGAAATGTAAAACCAAATAACATCTAGTATCTTTACCCGGATGACTTAAACCTAACCTCATGAACCTGGATCACAGCAGTACAACATTATTGGCTTCATTAAGACATTTGAGTTTCCCACCCTGAGTGTGACTTGGAGGAAAATGGTCTATTCCTGTGACATATGGTAGAAGAAGACATTCTGGTGACGATTACACCAACAATCATACAGAGGTGACTGAGTTAGTTGACTGCAAATCCGAAGTGTTCAAGAAATCAAAAAAATTGTTCGGTGTACACAGAGAGCCACTACTTTCATCTTGGATCAGTGATCATCTGAAAACTCAAACTCCAAGTGAAAACACATTACCTGACTCATGGTAGAGTTCCAAACAGAGGTCAGACTTTCATCGCTTCCGTACTCCTCTGTGATGCTTTTTTTAACGTCCTCCTCCACACTCATGAGAAGATCCTCAGCCTGAGAAGGACAATCAGCGAATGTGATATTTTGACTTTTTAAGTTTTTAAAAAAAAATATGTCCACTGGAAGCTTTGGCCAAGATCGAAAGGGGCCACTCACCACATTCCTGAAGACGAGCAGCACCACAGCCCCTGCAACCTCGCTGATGAAGATAATCAGCACAATAATGAAGAACTACGGGGAGAGGAAATGATAAATGATCACTCTCACTGTATAGCTGTAAAATCAAGTATCACCAATCGAGTCAGAAACAGGTTTGAAATGTATGCAGATGTAAAAAGACAGTAGAAGAAAGACAGTCAACACTGTCGGGACGAAACATTTCAACATCTACTGTCACCAGAATTCCCTGATTTCAAACTAACACGAGTTTCACTTTACTTCAAATGAAATCAGATGATTTTGATTGATTTTACCCTGAGCTTTAGATCCAGGAGGTTATTATTTCTAACATTGCAAAATACTCGGTTTTTGATGTTTTAATTGATTCTCTGGGAGACTGAGAGAAATTCAGACATACTAAGATGGTTGGTATTAATGAGTGTGTGCAATTTTGTGCCAATCCAAATGAAAATCTAATTTTAAATCTGGATCTAGTGCATTTGAATGTGGTTTCACACGAGGTGTCGGCTTTTCAGAGCTAGAAACAATGTAACATAACCGTGAGACATGACAGAGATATGTGTTCTACTTCAAGTCTATTTTTGTCAGCACGATTACACAGAAACTACAGAATGGATTCCCACAAAACTTGGTGGGAGGACCAGACATGGGCCAAGAAAGAACCCATTAAACCTTGGCGTGGTTCCAGATCCAGGATTTATTTTTATCACTTTCTTTTATGTTGTGAGATAAAGTGATTTTTTTTTTTACATTTTAACCAATTTTCCAGGGAATAATTCATGGATCTCGATGAAAAGAAACAGGTATATTAAGGAGACTGATATCTATAAGTGTGTGCAATTTGGAACAGCTTGATTGAATTTAAGTGCGGTACATGCTCTACTGAATTCCATTCCAAGCAGGGTTTTCATCCTACTACAATGGTGCGACATCGTGGCACCGTTTCAAACACGAGAAGACCAGATAAGTTACTGCTTTAAAAGAATAATCATTATTACTGAGCCAACTCTTCAGAGAATAAAAGCCTTTTTTCTTTAAAACTTAAACTCAGTCTACTCCATCAACTGATCTAACATGGCTCACCGTCAACAGCATACACCTGCTCTCCCTAATAGCTCCGCAGCAGCCCAGGAAGCCAATGACCAGCAGCAAAGCCCCCACGCCTATGAGCAGGTAGCTAACGTTGAACAGTTGGGATAACACAGACGATGCATCAGGCACTTTGTCCAGTATTCCCAGCAGAGAGCCGCTGTCCACCTTCACCCACACTCCCACACCCAGGATGGCAGCACCTGCTAACTGCGTGAAGGGAAGGGAAAGATAGAGAATATTAAGGAGTGATATGAAGGAAATAAGAGAATATCAATTGTTCATTCAATATACAGTATCAGTTTTTAGCAGTTTTTAAAGGACATCATTTCCCATAAGCACTTGTCACAGCCTGACCAGGAGGAAGGTCCGCTCGGGAGTTGAAGAGTCAAACATAGCTTTTATAGGAAGAGATTACAACTGAGTATTTGTCTGTCAATCTAAACCAAGTTATGATGATGTAAGGTTTTAATTCGTCCTATAACAGGAGCTGCAGTGTCAATTTGTCTGGACACTTACCCCCGGAAACATTTTATTTTATTCTTTTCCGAGAGACTAAGGAAATAAATGATAAAATGAGGGATTGCATTGTGTTATGGAATCTTATGGAACAACTTCATTCCTTCGCTGGGCCATGAAGCTCTTCTCTCTCTCTCTCTCTCCCGACCTCCTCTAATCAGCTGAGTGTTTATGGCAATCCAATCACATTTTTTCCATGATCTCACTCAGCCAATCATTTTGACCCCTGCCAAACTTTAAATCTGTTTTCCTCAGCTGTCATTTCAGTGATTCGCTGTGACCCTTCTCCTCCCCACTCGCCTCCAATCTCCACATCCACTCATCTCATTCAGATCCTCAACATTCTCCACATCCCTTCAACCGCCCCAGAACCTGGGGAGGTTTTGATGATCAGCCATAATAATAATAAGCTAAGCTAGGTTACGTCTCCTGGCTCTAGTGTTATATTGAACTTACTCGTATGAGAATGATAATAAATCTTCTTATCAAGCTCTCTTTCATCAAAATGTCAAACTATTCCTTTAAGCCATCACTGAATTAAGGAAGGTCAACACTGTGACAGGTCCCACATTTGGCTGTAATATTATAAAGCTTAAGGAAATAAGGTTACACTCAGCAACGTGAAACATGAGATAGAGCTTGAATCAGAGAACATCTGAATTTCTTTCTTTACTTACGAAGATGCCACCATTGAAGATAAACATCATAATTTTGAGGAAACTGGAGCAACACATCTTGGCGTTTTTTTTTTTCTTCTTCACACTGTTGAAAAAAGAGAAGAGAAGTGTGTGTTAGTGTGACTGGAAACTAATAAAAACTTGAATTAATCAATTTGATGAGGACTTTTGGATGGACAACATTCACCCCTCATAGGTTAAGGCAGATGTGTGGGTCTGATTCTAACAATCATGCACCAACATGGGTCAAACAGCATTTGCTTTGGTGAAACATTAACACAGTAAATGGCAGGACGCAGACAGGGGCTTTTTCATGCTGACGTAACACAAGGTTTCGGTTGAAGTATGAAATTGTGGCTCGTCTGTTTCACACTTAACTTTCATTTTAAAGGATCATGAAGTACCTTTTGTTCTCTTCATTGTCAAAGTGCAGAAGCAGGTTTATGACACTGTGGTACTCCTTATCAATGTTGTATTATAAGTTATAACCCACAGGTATGTCAGTAGAGACAATGTGTTCACACGTCTTTGCCTTTCTTTGTTATGGGCCATAAAAAACCTATTAGAACAGGTTAACAGGGTTTGTACTGTTACTAACTCTGCTGATGAGTTCATGATTTATGGTAAAGCCACTGTGTCATAAGCTCAGAACTACCATAAAACACACACCCAGGTCACCGGCTTTGCACAGCGTTGTATCCGTCTGCTCTGTGTCCTCGCAGTGACATCAGCTTTACAGTTATTGACCTTTTTTTTCTTGTTTCCTTATTGCAGCATTGACGATAGCAACCTTGTTTCCAAGAGGAAATAACATTTTCAAGCGATATTCCATGTTGTCTGAATATACTGGACGACAGGCTTGAAAACTTTAAGGCTCCTACATAACCCTCAACTGCTTTTTTTCTCTGAGTGAGTGTGTTTTACTTTGTATATATTCTGTTAAAGAGAAGCGATACTGAACAATACTTTATTCAGTCTGTTAGTGGTGATACTGTAGTGCTACTATAATAAGCAGGGGGATATTTATGACTGATACAAAATGACAACACTCTAGTCACTGTTAACCATGACCTCGCTTTGAAAGATAAATATCTGATTCCAAAAGTGTAAGAATATAAATTATGAAATACAGGGTTTAAATAATCTGTTCTCAACTTTTATCTATTTTCATATTTTTATGTTTTATAAGGCAAAAACATCCTGGATACTGGATCATGTTTATATTAATTTGCGACAATAAGACTTTTAAGTTATTTAGATAAAAAAATTAATGAATACAAATTAAATTGAAATGTTTTTGATAGTAGATATTTGGATGTGTGAATTTTTAGTGTGACAAAACACGAAACTCCTACCTGTGCTGCAGCGATGTCTGTCCAAGGTCTGATCAATGAGGAGTGTGCTCAACGAGGCTCTCACATGCCCCTTTATCTTCTCAGAGGTCTCTCCCTCTCTGACACACACACACGCACAAGCACACACACAGAGATACGGAAAAAGAGAGTTCATACCCTACACGTCACTGACTTTGCTTTTGGGGTAAGCAACATTCAAGTGTCCAAAGTCCCTTTTAAAATAAAAAACTTTTACGACCTGAAACTTTACAAGCATCCCATGGTCAAAACTAAATATTGATGTTCATTAACAATTTCTTATATTAACCCAAAGTTCAGAATATGTAATATATATCTCGAGAATTAAAGTATTCAATACCAAATTATTAATATATTTTCTAATAAATGGAAAAGAAAAACTCCATCATATGATGAGTCATTACTGATGCTTACACTGACAGGAAAATTGTGGGAACTTTTCCTAATATCCAAAAGTGATATTTAATTTTTTTTAAAGAAATGAATTACTTCACACCAAAAAAAACCAAACAATCAGAGATATTGTATTGATCCATATCTTTTAATCTCAACTTTTAGAGCAACAGAATAAACCTGGCAAATGAAATACTCGAGTAACAGTAACCATTACAAGTACAAAAAAGAAAAGTATAAATTAAAATAAAATGAACGTCCCTACAAAAGAGTAATAACAAGACTGATGGAATGAGATGCATAGACCTAGAATGACACAGCATCTTCCAGATATGTTTGAACTATAATGATTTATGTGCTGATGGAGTAATCGGAAAAATGTGATCCCTGCTGGGAAGATATACACGCCCCCTCAAGTTGGAAAAACACGTCGGTGAAAATGTTGGTACACAAGTTGCTGACGTCGTCGCCTATAAACTAATAAACATAATGATACACTCAGCTCTAAATAGAAGCTTCTGATGTGAACTTGTCAACCGTTGAACTTTAGTGACTTGCAAACTCTATGTTGATCTCTTACAAGCCCGACACCAGATTTTTTTATCTAATAAAGACTTGCATGTTCTAAATTATGTATATGCCTGTCACACCCGAACCTTTACGTTGCTCTTTCTTATGTAAATATTGGAAATTCAATGTGTTGTATAAACGCTTTAAACATAAACTCAACACATTTTGGTCACAGCGTCCATGTTTTTTCTACACTCCTACTTCAAAGCTCATGAACACATTGAAGTCAGGATAAGGTCTTCACAGCCTTGGTAAAGGGGACTTTCCAAGGTGCACGTGAATGCACGGTGACAGACAGGATAGACTGTGAAGTGTGGGGAAGGGAGTCACTGTGATGCAATTTTGCAAGATACCCACAAGGGGGTAGCATGACACAAGTAAATCACCCACCATGCCATGCTGATTTGGTTCATGCCTTTTGTTCACATCCTCACCTGCAACAGGTGCTACTCACCCATTCAACAAGAAATCATACAGACAATCAGGCAGTAGGCAAAGCAGCTCATAGCACATACAGCTCTTTGGCATCAGTCACATTCAAATCATGAGGAAGCGCTGGCGCCGCCACCGCCAAGTTGAGAACAAGAAAAGAAGAAGGGAGCCAAGCATCCATGATAGTATTGCAGCAATGTATCATAGAGTACATTCACTATGGTAGATTTTTGGCATTTTTTTTTTCTCTGTGTGTGTGTGTAAGAGCATTAAACCGCAGTCAATGAATTCCCACTGTCAGCTATCAGCATGCGCAGCCACCCTGGCTGCTGCGGGACGTGTCCTTCAGGTCGTCTCCCTTGGAGCCGCCTGACGGACTGGCATCGCCGTTGACGCTCTCGTTCATCTTCTCACAGATGACGTCCACCAGCTTCTCGAAGACCTGCTTCACGTTGACATTGTCTTTGGCGCTGGCTTCAAAGAACTGAAAGCCTGAAGAGAGAGAGAGGAAGAGAGAGAGAGAGGAGAGAGAGAGAAAGAGAGAGGGGGAGAGAGGAAGAGAGAGAGAGGGAGAGAGAGAGAGAGAGAGAGTACACAGTATGACTTATGAGTAATAATGCTGGTTTGTTTGTTCTTGCTGAACATGTGATAAAAGATTTAAGTGTGTGTGTATGTGTGCAGTGTGTATGTGTGCAGTGTGTATGTGTGCAGTGTGTATGTGTGCAGTGTGTATGTGTGC